AAAATATATTATATTATTATACTGTTAAAATACTTAAGTAGAATTAATTAATGTTAAACACAACAAAAAAAAACTTTGTTATTTCTACTAGAAATTAGTAAGAATTGCTCAGAATATAATATATATACCTAAACGGAATTATTTAAAAATTCGCATAGATCACGTTCAACGAGATATGTAGAATATAATTGTATACGCCTAAAGGGGGGCTTTTATTTTGATTTTGATTTTTTTTTTATTATTGTTAAAATTTATAAATTTATAAAATTAAATTTTAAAATGTAATAATTATAATTATTATTAAAACATGTCTTTATATAGTTGATTAAAATAGGTATTTTATCGCTTTAGAATAATTGCGCGTAACGTACGTTATTATATTTTTCTACGAAAATCGATTCTAAAATAATATAACCAATGGATATTTATGTAATAATATTAAAACTTAAGAAATAATACCTAATATTAATAAACAATATTAATGAGGTTGGGGCACATTTTCTGGAATCATTGAGAAAAGTAAAATTAAATTATGCCAACCTATAACAAAAAACCAAACCTACCTATAATACCTGCAAAGTCGATAAAAAAAAAAAAACTTCGAGTTAATATAAAGCCGAAAAGATAGTGGAAACCCCATGTCCAGTGGATCATAGAATTCTAATTTAGTTTGGTGTAACTGATGATGTTTTTCGTTATCTTTAGATTTTAATATTTGGGAAAAGTGCCCCGGGCTCCGTAATTTTAAAAGAAAAATAATCACTCACGTAATATAATTAATGTAATAATATATGTAAGGTAGAGCTTCTTAACGTTTAAAAAATTAACAATTTGGAATAAAAATAAATTTAAAATTTCACCATAAATACATATTATCATTATATGAATACGGTGTTTCTATAGTATGATAATTAAATCTTAATCGAATATTGCAAACATTTTTTATACAAAACACAAAAATTACTAAGGGAAGTGCATTAAATCCCACGACTAAATTTATTTTTAAACGTTTTTCTATATTTCAATAATTTTGTTCTATAGTTTTCAACGTGATTAAATTGTCTATTTTTTTTTTTGTTTTTGTTATTAATTTATTTTCTTTATTAAATTCGAGAGTTAATTCTCCCTTAATTAAAGTGGTTAAAGTGGGGGTATACAAAAGGGTACGAATTCCCTCTTATTATTTAACGTCATTATTATAATTTAACCGTCCCCTTTCTTAACTCGAATTTTTTAAGTCCGGGGTACGCTTATATTGTCACATAAGTATTTATTTTTCCAAATTAAAACATAAAGAACTATTAGACCCTATTATAACACAATTTGTATCGACAAATGTGTTTTGAAGAAAACAAATATTTGTAGTTTTATTTCCATCTGAATTTCCATTAAATCCGTTAGGTTTAGTTAGACTCGAGTACGGCCCTAAAATTTTGACAAACATGTTTATAATTTGAATAATATTTTTTCCACTTTAACCACTGATTACCAGTAAATACCTACCGATTCAAACAACATTGTTTAATGGCACCTACTTATAATATGTTTACTGAACATATAAGTATATTATAAATAATAACATTCAACAATGAAGTTCAAATAAAATATTTTAATCACTGTATCTAAAATTTCGACGAAATACATATCATAGTATTAAATTGTATAGGTTCGATCATAGACGTGACGTTATAATTTTCCAATAATTATTATTTTCAAAGACTCGTTGGCAATCCGACAACTGATTTTATTTGCAAGTTTTTATAAGGGTTCACGAAAACAAAAGGGGACATTTTGAATCAGGACCAAATCCGTAATTATAACTTAAATATTATTATATATTGCTATACATTATTTTATATTACTACTATAGTATATTATTAAGATAATTCTAAATGTATTCAACGAGTATTATGGGTTAAATTTCTGAGAAAAATATTATTATAATACGTTAGACATAAATATAAGCTTTAAGCTTTAACTACATATTTTCTTAAAAATTAAATATATTAAATAACAAAATACTCGTACTTATATTTATTTATATTTTATATTAATCATTAAACCCCTGTTATTGTTTCTTTAAGTTGTTTGGTTATTACTTTTTTTAACATTTTAGAAGTGCCTTGAATATTGTCTTTTTAACATTTGTTATTTTAATAGTGTTGTATTGTTATACATTTATTATATTTTATTAAAATTAAAATTATAATTTATGAATCTTGTAAAAATTAGAAGTATACCAATTATAAGAATATAAAGAGAAACCCACGAGATTATTATAAATGTGCCTTAAAATGATTAGGCCAGTTAAAGTTAATTTTTGATTTTTTTTTTTTTTTTAAACCCACTAATTTCATAAACTTTTTTTTAGTTATGTTTTTAATTTTATCGGAGTTTGGAAACAAAACAGTATAATGTATATTCTTTTGTTTGTGTCATTTTCATATACTAATATATATGTACATTATTGATAACGATGCAGTCTTCTAAGACTATAATTATATGAATATCTACTTAAGTTTTGTAACACGACAGCTCACGCACAAAAAACGCAAACTCAAATGATCGTGACGTAGTTATATAGCCATCGTTGCTGTCTAAAAAATAAACCCGCAACAATATAGGTACGTTTTTTTCTACAACCTTATTAATAGAAATTAATAAACAAATTTCTATCGAAATGATGCATTCTCGCAGAATAAACAATTAGCAGTTGAAGGGCACAAGGAAAGAAGGTCCATTTTTGAAAATTATTCTGCACACGTTTTTTCCTCTACAGCCAGTGGAGGGTGCCAAGGAATTTCTAATAGGAGGAGATGTAGTAAATAATAATCATGGTTCATGAATAGATCGTAGAATAGTTATCTGTTATACCAAACCCAATAGACAACGTTGAAATTTTAAAAGTAGAATCCTAAAATGCCAATTTATAAACAATTAATTAAGTTTTATTTTCTTTTTAATTTCACTAGAACATAATATAATAATTCTAACAAAATTACATTTCCAGTAGTTATATTCTTAAAAAAATGAAGAAAAATGTAATCTCTAACACTACCTATCTCCTATGTCCGTATCATTATCTATAGCTTCATCAGAGTCTACGATCATATTTAACTAATACATCCAAATTTTCTCCCTTCGAATAACCCAAATGAAACTTTTCTTTCGTCTAATGAAACTCAACATTAGTTAGTAGACTCAATGCGCCATCGAAATGGCGCCATTAAATCAAAAATCAAAGAATTGACTATTCTTCTCACTTCATACCCTACAAATTTATTTTCATTATTTTATAAAAACACAACATTATATTATATACATTAATATTCTTAATACCAACTAATTACAATATCTATTTGTGTTTGTAAAATAATAATATTATTATTATTATTATTATTATTATTATTATTATTATTATTATTATAATTATTGCTGTATCCGTAAATCTTGTATTCATTATGTGTTTATACTAAGTATACCTATTTAATAATACCTTTAATTTCTTCAATTTATTGTATACTATAAATTTTAACTATGTTTAATAGTTGAATGAATTGCAGCACAATATAGTTGTATTTTACTTGTAATAGACCTATATAGACAATTATTATTCTAAATTATATTGAAAGTTTTCTAAAAAATATACCTTCATCCCATTTTATCATTTATGTAAAAATGGTTTAAATCGAAGATGTAAAAAAGATCAATATGTTTGTTATGTGTACCTATTATTTTTATTATTATTAATTTTAGAATTTAACATTAAATACTCATATTAATGATCAAACAGTTCTGAAGTTGTGTATTGTGTCGTATATTTTTTTGTACATGCGATGTAAATAAACTGTTGAGTAGTATGTAATTTGTTTTCATTATAATATCACTCGTGTTCAATATCTAATAATATTATTATTATAACTTATGCTTAATATTCTATAAATAGATAAGTGTTAGTAAATAAATTTCGGTGATGACTTTTATTTCCATCAACCCGTTCACAAAATATTCCACTTTCAAAACCAAAATTTATTTAAATTATCACTAAGTACATAAATTTATGGAATTTTGAATAAGGGTTCTTATTTGAAATTAAAGATTTGACCTGCAACCCCCTTTTTCCACAAAAAAAAACAGTGAAAAAAAAATGTACAAATTATTTTAGCTGCTTATAAATTGAAAAACTCTAATCGCTTAATTGCTACGACATAACACAAAATCGTCAGTTTTGAATTGTTTGCAAATAATTATAACACAGGTGTTTTTCTCTATACTAGTAGAACCACAGAATAGATACAATTACGTCAGCTACAGTTACTAGATTGATCCAGAACTAGAAAATGCATACATTGCAATTTGATATTGTTTAATATTCAAAGTAATGTTGTGTATATTTAATATTTAATAACATCATATAAAATAATAAACTAATAACTGTTATTTTTAATTATAGTTCTGTATTCAAGTTCTATTAATGTTATAATGTTTTCGTTATTGCATCATATTAAAGATTCACAGAAACGAAACTAGTTTTAAATATTTATGAATTTGAAGAGATTATCTCAACAATTCACAGATGTCCCTGAAACATCTAATGAGAGATTAAAGAAGTCTCAGGAAAACAGTGAAGCCATGAGAGTTTGAAATAATGTCGGCTAACTAGTATGTTAGTGCCTATACATAATAAACAATTTCATAATGAATTTCAATACTCAATAATTTGACTAATTTTCATTATATTATTAAACCGAAATTATTTTTAACTGCCTATAGATTATTTTTGAGTTGTTGCAGTCTTGAACTGGATTGCCAATATAGTCTAACACAATTTTTTTTTCCAAGTACTAAACACGTTGCATATATTATAATTTTTTGATTTATCGAGAAGGCATAATAATAAATTCTGTTAAGAAATAATATATAGCATTCAATAATTTATTTTCATAAAATTATACAATGCAATTTATTTATTTTTTTAAAACATGTATTTATGCAAACTACGATAAACAAATCTATTAAAGTTTTTGGGTTGTTGTGTGTGATTTCGTCTGAAAATCGTTGATCATTGCAACTATCTTGTAATCTATATGTCTTCACTAACTTGAAATCTGAATCCATAACACCTGAAAATATGCATCATTATAGGCCAATCAATTTGAATTATAAGTTATTTCTGTTAAACAGATTGGTATTAATAACTAAAGAATGCAAAAAAAGAATCTAAAATATTAAATAAGTACTTAGGTTTAAAATGATAAATTAAAACACTAATTAAGACTAAGAATATTGATAAAACAGTTCTGTTAGATAAGTACATTTTGGAAATTTCTTGTTGTTGAACAAACACTAATAAGATTTAGGTGTAAATGTAGCAAGTGAGTTGCGTAAAAAGGAAGTTTATAACACACTTAATATGTATTGGTCATCTATAAAGAAATTTGGTTTGATCAGAAACTATACTTCTGTACATAGATCGTTCGTTTTTGAACTTTTAGTTTTGACAACACAAAATTATAATAGGAACAACGTAAAAGAGGAACTTATGTAACTAGATAATGAATAGTAAAAAATGGGACTTGCCTTTAATAGGTACTTATATATTCCAAAAAAATTTTAATATATGCAAATTTCCTTGTAAAATAATATGAGGGTTTAAAGTTACTTTACATTACATTTTAATATTATCTCGTATATAACGTATATATATAAATTGGAATAAACGTATACATACTAAATTATAATTAAAAGAGATGTATTAATGGGGATAGATAACAGTTGTTAAAAGTATATAATGAAACATCAGGCTGTTGAGACATTTTCCTGTATACGTAACAATATGAACAAGTATCGAAAGTAGGAGAATGTATTTTTTGATAGTTTAGCATTTAAAGTAAAGGTTAAATCCGAAAATTAATCTCGGCTAAGTAAGGTTCTAAACGCAACAATAAATTAATTAAACACCTATAAAAAAAATTAAAATTAAAGATAAATATATAATTTTTATGTTATATTTTGCAATGTATATTAATAAATGATTAAGAGTTTACATACCTGTAGTGGTCTACATTTTTTCCATAATTATGAAAATGTCATAGTCAGCACAGGTTTCAGGAATGTGTCCTCCATAAGCAGTAAGATCATCAACTGATAGTTTGACCCAAACACTATTACACGTGAACTTTTCGAGCTCTTTGGCGTAATTGTGGCTGGTCACTTTGATCTTCAAATCAGAAAGTGATACGGGTGGAAACAATATTGTGCGTATAATAGGCATGATGTGGCAAAATCGTTTTTTTTCGTTGATTATACTTGTGAGGTTACCATGGAAATCATGTATGACACGAACCTCGGGCACTAAGGACAAAGAACAAGCGACTTCTTTGTAGTCGACGAATTTGATCGTTGTGTTCAATTGAAAGTNGACGAGAATAATCATAATAATAATCATGTAAATGGTTATTAAAATAGCTATTAAAGACTCATAGTATGATATTCTCTCCGTATTACTTTCGGTATCATTGATTGTAACTTTTTCACACTCTTTCTTGATTATTGGTGAAGTGTTGACAACAGGCATGGTTTATAATCGTAAAAAGGAAAAGTTCAGTGAAAAATACAACGCTGTGTTAGGCGGTCACGGTGAAGACAAAGAAAACAGCAACAATAGCGGCGGCGATAGGCGAAGCACCGAAAACGACCGTACGGTATAGAGAGTAGTGACTGTGTACTGTACCGCGGTACGGGGATGGGCTGTTAAAGTGTAAAGTTCACGCTCGTATACCCGGAAACTTTCAGGTAGATAAAAGTAGTGCCAACCATGGGCGTTATCTCGAAGGTTGCATTTAATCGTTGACTACAACGTGTTGACAAAAACCTGGCAAAAGTCCGAAAGCCTATAACGTCCACCTCTCTGCCCCACTCATTGATCCTCGATCAAGGTTAGTTAATATTACCCATACAACGAAATATTATTTTATGCACATTATAACAAAACCGAAATGCTCAGTAGCAACGACTGGCGACGACAACGGCCGAAGATCAGTGTTTTCCTGCAAGACCAATAATTCCCTCCCCGCCTAAGTACGATGACCACCGCATACCGTACTTCTCAGAATGACAGCGGCCGCCGGTAAAAAGGTTACATTATAAAAGTGTCTCCGCTCACGTTACCAAGCGCGCCATATTACCGTTTACATTTTAACACCCCGCACTATCCGTTACACCCTCTTCGACTACATTGTAATAGGTATATATTATGCATTTACGACAGATGTTATTTTATTCGAATATTCATATCGATATTACACAATCGCCATCGTCGACCGTCTTCCTGTTAGTTGGTGCATAGACTTTTGTCGACGACAAAATAATATTTCTCTTTATATAACTGTTGTTATCATCGCCCATCGGGTACATAGGTCGAAAACAATAACGATAACATCACGATCCTCAATTATGCGCGCGCGCGCACACACACAAAAGCCAACAGCTGTTTCTACTCATTCATCTGATATCTGGACGATCGATCGTCTGTAGGAATTCTTCTACAAACCTGCGCACAAGTCTTTCTCAGCTTTCCCTCCAATCTCACGTATTTGTTTCGTTTTTCCAAGTGTTAGTTTTCATTTCGTAATTTTTTTTTTTAAAAGGAGTGTTCACTTGTTTTTTTAAATGTATTCACTTTATTATCCGTTTAAAAACCAATACTTTTGAATTTCCCGTCCCCGGTCGTGGAAAAGTTTATAACACAATTATTCATATGAAAAGTCACGCCAAAACACACGACAGGATTAAATGGCAATGTGCTCTTTGCCCGAAAATGTTTTCACGTAAGGATAACTATGATATTCTTCACGATAAAAATGTTCATCGCGACGGAAGAATCGCCTCGCTCCTTTATGTCCCGGGCGCGCAGGCTGGCCCATCGAATGTTTGTGTATTTTCTGTTCCTAGTTAGTAGAAAACGTGCATCAAAGGAGCAGTGGTGTATCGAAGGTATACGGCGTATAACCAATACGCTATTTTTATCTAAAGTATAAAGCTTATGACGAATTGACGATAAGCCGGGATACGGCCATGTCAAAATTATATTCTATATGGCAATTATAAATACCTACTATATATCTATATCAATTATAGTAAAATACATTTTGATTGTAATACAGGACGTAACACGTAATACAAAGATTTATATTTTTAAATTTATTTCATTTAAAAATAAAAGTTTTGTTATCAGTCTTGTTATCAAGCATTTATAATCAAATTATCCGTAAAATAAAATATCCTGAGAGGAGGATTACGGTCGAACGAATCTCACCCTAATTTATCATAAAATTTAATATAATTTTGTATTCTTATTTTGTGAAAGCTCGTAAAATGATAATGATGATAATATTATACTTAATATTTTACTAATATATTTCGTACATTTTCCTGTTTGTGCTCAGTTTTTTCGGTTTTTCACATTTGATAAGAAATCTTTTGATAAAATCGAAAAATTACCTCCCTATATATCATCCCCCCCCCCAAGTTTGATTTCCTTTCAGAAAAAATGCATTATTGCAAAGGAGGATACAGTCGTCAATGTGAAGATAACTAGGATGTACTTGGTAAATATACCGGGATTTAGCTTTGACTTTATGCTGAAATAAACGAAGATAAATCTAGAACTTCTTTCCAACTACGATATGCTACTAATGTTCAATAGAGGTAGTAATGTTTTAATTATTGTATTTATTAAATATTACATTTATTACAGGACATTGAGTACCATAACTACTTACCGTTCCTACCTAATGATGGAGTGCCATCAGGTTCAAAGGTAAATAAATATATGACGACGTTTAAAGAGAAGACTATCTACATTTTATACTACCGTAATATGAAGCGGGCGATAGCGGACATAAATAGCGATTGTAAATGAAGAACTCATATTATTTTAATTCATTGTGTTATTAATTATATTTTTTGTATTGTTTATGTTACAAGTGCTCAGAATTATGGAGTTCAAACAATCTCGAAGGAGTATATTGACTTGACTACCGAGATGAGGAAGAAGGTGACGAATATAAGGTTTTCTTTAGATTGATGAACAATGCTGTATTTGGTATGTTATTGTTATTATTAAAATTTTATGATTTACTAGATAAAACTATGGAATCGATAAGTCAGAGGATTGAAATTAAGCTGTACATCTTCAAGACCAAGATGTATGGCTACCATTACGATGTTATGAGGAAGCATTTCAAAAATTCAATCACTTTGATGTGTACCGATAAAAGTGAATTATTATCATTATTCATTTTTTTTATTATACATATAATATTATAATGTTTTTCATATTAGTTTGTGTATAATATTACGGCGAGAAATTTCTACAAGAACTTGTTAAGCACACCAGGGCTCTTGGAGTGTACGGATACGGCAAACTTGCCCAGAGACCACTATTACAATGTTTCAAAGAGGAAAAGATATCGGAAAAAAAAACATACAATACCATATAGATAATACAATATGACTATATAGTCTGATTTCAACAAGTCTGATTTCCTTTCAGAAAAAATGCTATCATTGTAAAATAGAGCAAGATTTCTAGCAGAAAAGTTGCGCATGAATATATATCTTTGTAAAACATTAAGCTTTTTCGGTCCACTCAGAATCTAATAAAGTTAATCATTAAGCGAATCTAGAAAAACTTTTTAAGACCCTAACATTAGATCTCCATATATCTCTATATACGTGAAGAAGGCGTATACCCACGGTTTATTTAGCAATATTTAACTACAAAGAAGGATACTGCAGTTAAAGTGAAGATAATTAGGCCGGACTTGATAAATACACCGGGATTTATCGAAATCAATCGCACAATCGACTCGACATTCTTCCGCAAAATCGTATGATTTTACGTGAAAAATATTAGCAATTATTCAATCTACAGAAAACTACTTCAATCACTCAAGCGTGCCGTAATCGATATTCTCCAAAAAATTATCTCGGCATACTACTATACGGCACCCGAATTCAGCTTTGACTTTATACTGAAATAAACGAAGATAAATCTAGAACTTCTTTCCAACTACGATATACTACTGATGTTCGAAAGAGGTAAAAATGTTTAAATTATTTTATTTATTAACTATTACAGCTATTTTATTTTATAAGTACCCGCGGTGGATTGTTGCAGGCAGGTATGCGGTATGGTAAAGCTAACGACTATTCGGCACCGGACTATGACAAGACCAAGGACGATTCATGGATTACATGTCAAAACTCTAAGTAAACATATTTAAAAATATATGTTGGACACATACTTATAATTTTTTGCATTTTTCTGTTTATTTTAGGTCATAATCTGTACGACTGAGGATGTTGCAGTACATGCTCCACCACATTAGACAGACTTGAAGATTTATACTACACTTCGCCGATGGAACGGATGTACAGCCTGGTCCACTCAAGACGCGCGAAACGTTTTGCAACGTTTCTACTATGTTCGGCGCGTTTGGTATAGACCTAGTCAGCGCACGAACACACATGTTCGTGCATGTTGCAAGTTTGTTCGAAAATTATGGGAAATGCGCGGTGTTCGGCGCGTTTTGCTTATCTGGTTTGGACGAGAAATTTTTAGTGTCGTATTGTTGCTGCAACAGTCAATACGCGATTGTTTGTTCTTTTATATTTTTATATAATTAAATGGAATAAAATTAGTAATGAAATAAAATAAAGTTTATAATAATGATGAGCTGCAATTCAGAAAATGCTTGGGATCAAGAAAAAGTAATTCAACTAATTGAGTCCTATCGCGAAAAACCTGTTCTATGGAACCCAAAAGAAAAATCTTATTTCAACAAAAAAATACTTACTTTAATGTCCTAATGTTCTGGTCTAGTGGTAAATACTTCGATTATAATTCCATATGTAGCAGGTTCGAACCCAATATAAGTTATAAAAAATTGCAAAAAAAAATCGGCCAATGGCCTGACGTAAGCTGAAAACATTGTATAGTATCATATTTGTTATATGATTGTGACGCTTGTACATGTTGTTTGTTGGACGATTTGATATGTTATTAGCATATACATGGTAATAAACACACGCGCAACCGGAATTTTAAATTAGTGCGATAATATGATAGATAAATAGATCACAACATTCGGATAATAGTTAACTCAATACAATCATGTATGAAAAATAATATACGAAAAAAGTGTGATAGAAAAACCGGTGGCCACCGTGTATACTATTGCAAATTTTTCCTTTTAAAAAAATGTTTGAACCTTAGTTAAAAAAAAACATTTTCTATAATAAATGGAAAGCTTAAAATTTAAATTAAATAGTGTCACCTTTAATTATAAATTCATTAAAATAAGTGATTTAGAAATTGATCAGAAATATTTATGCAAATATTTTAGTATTGATAAAACAACATATGGTGACAAATTAAGTGTTATTTTAGATGATAAATTTAAATTATTTTTACCTGACAGATTTGTAAATTATTTTTCTCATAAAGAAATTGAAACATACAATAAAAACACACAAGATCAAATATTTTTGGTTTGTAAAGGTGTAAAACAACTTAATAACAATAAAATATTTTATTTGATTGAATTTGTATAGTTAAATCATATTTTATTTGCATTCTTTTTAGTACACATTTTTAATTTATTTTAAATTTAAAAAAAATATTATTTATAATAAATGAGAATAATAAAAATAAAAACGGATTCATAAGGTTAGAAAATCCTATATTTGGAGATAATTTTATTTCTCTTGTAGAGTTTGTATTTGTTTAATTTCTCTGGTTCTTACAGAGTAAGAAGGTAGAGCTTTATATTCTTGTGTTTTCTTAAAGAGTTTTATAGTATCCTAGTAGCAGGTTTCGTTTAGGGTAATTAATCTTTCTTTGAATCTATTAACTAAATCTATAGGTTTCGGATTTTTACGAGTATCTTCAGTGATCTCGAATTTGTCATTATATATTTCATTATATTATTTCATTATATTTTTCATTATACCGCTCTTCAGATCTGAAGATCGGTGAGATTTTATTGTTTCAAATAATAATTTAGTTCTTTTTAATTCATACCAATGACTGTATTGTTTCTTTCCTTGTATACATAATTTATATTAAAATTATCATTCTTTTTTACTATTTGTTTTTATTAAATTATCAGTGTATTCTTTGAAATTTTCTCTTTTTATGTTTGTTGAATAATGTCTCCATGCTAAAGTATTTATATCGTTATCTAGAATATATCTTTTATCATCGTATACACTAAAAGCTTTTTTATTTTTTTCAACAGTATATATTTCATGTTTATCTGGTCTAAAAGTGTTCTGTTTTACATATTTTGAATTTTTACTTTTTAAACAATTATAAAAATCATTAAAACATAATCCATTTTTAACTATGGGTTTTTTCACACCTTTTGCTTTTTTAATTTCATTTTCATTTTCAAATACTTCAATTGAATATAATTTAGATCTTAACCCAACAAATTCAGTTATTATTTGTCCATTAAGCTCATCTTTAAATTTACCTGGAACTTTTTTATTTATTTGTGGTATTCAATATTTATTATTCTTAGGATAATCTGAAAAATCAAATTCATTTAAAAGTTGTTTATTGTTTTTTACATCTGTATAAAAATCATCAGTTGAAATTTCTACTATTAAAGAATCTGTGTCTGTGTATAATAATCTGATATTTTTTTCAATACGTTATAATAAAAATCATACATTTGAGTTTTAGATAAATCTAAAATACACATTCCTAAATAAATTGGTTGTTTCAATTCAACCATAGTTTTTTTCATATGTACAGCTACTAAGTTCTCTGTAAAAATAGTTGCTCGATCAAAATTTGGTTTAACAACCCATTTTTCTATTTTTTCCCCCCATCGTTAATTAATTTCATATCTTTATGGTTCCTTGTGTTCATCATAGTCCTACCAAATACACTGTTTTTCATTAACTTATAATAATCTTTTTCAAATTCATTATCTGTTTTTGCACGAAGATTTATGTTAAATTCTATATATGGTTTTAACCAATCTTTTTGATCAAATTCTATTATCCTATGTATTTTCTCTAATTTTAAACCTAAACTTAAATAAAGAATAACATTATTATAATGTAGAATATATTTTTTATTATCATTTAGAGTTGTTGTTAATTTTGGTAATTCTTTATTATCAAATACGTGTTCAGGAGCCAATGGATAAACAAAATGAAGAAGCTCTTCAGAATATTTCAAACAAATCAGGATTACACCATTTAAAACCTTTATATGGTAAATATTTATACATTGCCCATCTATAGAGATTATTTGCATCCAAATCTAAGAGATATTTTGTTGATGTTTTTTCTTTTCTTTTCTCTCCAATATATTTATTACTTGCTTTAGAATATCTAATACTACATTGAGATAATCCTCCTCTTATTCCTTGTTCAAACATTAAATACATATCAATCTCTCTTATTAGTTCTAATTCTACACCTGTTTTTCTAAGTATAGCGTTCCACGCAAAACCTGGAGTTGTATAATAATGAACAGGATCCAACTTAAAATGTTTTATTGAAACATTTCTATAATTTTCCATTACATCTGTAAGTAATAATACATCTATTTTATTATAAAGTATGGTAAAATCTCTCATATTTTTTTATTTCGAATCTTTCCCATATTTTTTTAGCATTTTCATATGCATTTTGTGTTACATGTTTGCCTGTAAGAGAGCTGTAAAATTGATCTATATTAGGTAGAGATTCTTCATCATATTTTTCTAGAGANGATAATTTTCCTTTTACTAAATCCAATTGTTCAGGATAATGATTAGATAGTTCTTTAAACTGGTATGGTTCTAAAGTATTAGCTAATTTTTTTAAAGAGCTAAATAAGAATTTGAAAGAATCAAGAAATCTTATTTCAACTGTCTTAAAAATAGGTTTTCCTTTCTGATCTAAAACAGGGTTTTTAGTAATTGGATCTATATGTATATATTGTATATTTTTTGAAAATGATACATAATTTTCATCACTAATTGCATTTGTTTTTATATTTTCTTTATCAATACCTAATTCGTTTATGAATAAATGTGGGCCATAACCAGATAGATTGTGGAAAAATACTGGAACAAATCTAGGAACCTTATAATTTAAGTTACATATAGAATGAGCAGCTCCTCGATATTTTCCTGTTAAGTGATCGTGATCTTTAACCTTTTTTATATTATCTTCAAGTTCTTCAAAGAACATCTGTTTTTCTTTTATTAATTCATCAAGCCGTTTTTTAAAATATTCAGTTTCTTTTTCTATATTTTTTACATTTTCTAAATCTAAATTTTCAGATTGACAATAATTAATAGTTTCATCAAGTATTCTATTTTTTTTTCTCTAGTATTAGTGGTAAATCACTTAAAGATTTTTCACATATATGACAGTTATTTTCTTTTTCAAATTCAGTTTCTTGTTCTTAGGTTTTTTTTACATCTAAATAACTTTTTGCAATATAAAGAGCTTCATCTTTTATTTTCCCAAAAAAAATTTTTCTGCATCTTCACCTAAATATGTTACTAGATTACTTTTACTAGTATTACTATATTTAACATTATAACAAAAACTAACAAGTAAATGGTTTTGGTATGTTTTTATACAGGAAGCTGTATCAGAAGGTTGACATATATCAATTTTGGATAGCATACTTTCGAAATCAGCATAAATAACAAAAGGAACTTTATAAAATTTTTGGTATTTTTCAAATTTAAAAATACAATTAGATATGCTCGGTAATATTGCTTTAGCACATTTATTATTTCTGCAATATTTCTCAAGGTTTGTTAGACTTTCCTCAGTATGAAAATGGGATAAACACATGTTGCATAAATGTGTTTTATGGGCATGTTTTGTTTTTTGCGAATCAACTAATCTCATTAAGTTTCTAATCAAACAATAATGTTCATTATTTTTTTCTTTAATATAAAATAAGTTAATATAAGTTTCTTTTTGTATATCACATATTTGTAGTGGTACTATATTTATATTATCATCATAAGTAAACACATTAATGGACATATTTGTTTTTTTTTTCAAATTTAGGAATATCCTTTAATTTAACTGGAAATTCAATTTTTAAACTTTTAAATACTTCATTAAATTCATTTTTCCATTCTTTATATTTGCTAACTCTATTTGCATCTTTTATCGCTGGATGTAAAGCAGCAAGAATTGACCAAAGAAAACATTTGTTATCTTCGTTTTTAATGTTGATAATAACTTTTTTATCAGATATAAATTTTGGTAATTGAATATATGAGGCCCCTCTAAACGGATTATATTTATACATGTTTATGTTCATATTTGTAACCTGGTTAAATATCCAACCAGAACCCTTAGCTATAAAAGCATCTTCTCAAGATTGAATTGTTTTTTCACATTGTTATAAAATTCATTGAAATTACTAGAATGAAGAAAACGTTCACTTTCTGATCTAAAGCCTGTTTATATTTTCTCATTTGATGGATTTTTCTTGATATATTTACAATTTTCTATAATAAATATTTTAAAGTTACCTTTTTCTTTTAAATATTCTAACATTTTTTTCTCAACTAATTTTTTTGAATAATTCAAAAGTTGATTGATATCTTTAAATTGCCGTGTATTTTCAACAGTAAAGGATAATATTCTCCCTTTAAAAGCAGACCGATTACTAGTAGTAATATCAACAATCTTTAAAGTAGGACTTTCTCTCTCAAATAAGCTATCATCCAACTTTGAGAATATTATGTCTGTTGGAATCTTATCTTCAAAATATATTCCGCTACGATTATTTTTTTTAGTTGGTCTTTTCTCAATAATATCTTTGGAAAATTTGCAGAAAACTCTGTGAGGTTCTATTGTTCTCTCTTTTCTATGTGTAGGGATACTATTTTTAATTATCTGATTAGTTTTTTCATTATCTTAAATGTCTAGACCGATTTTTATATGTAGTTGTTTTTCCATACATGTTACAGGTCTTTTTTAAAGTTGTTCTAACATTAATATTTTCTTTCGTTTTATAATAGGATACATAATTTTTTTTTTTTCCTCAAATTCTTTTTAAATAAGACAATCTTGTTTAAAATATACAGTTTAATTATTGTTTTGTGTTAGGTTTTAAAATTTGGTTTTTTGTAATTCTTGGTTATAAAAACTTCCTTCAATAATTTCATTATTTAAGTCTTTAATTTTATAAGTAATTGGATTTGTATTCATTACTTCTGTAACAATACAAATTTCTCTTGTCCACTTGGAGTTATATTTGTTATCAAACATTTTTCTGAACTTCTTTATTCGAACTTAATTTTTGAATTAGATATTTCATCAGAGAATAATTTAATTAAAACTTTTTCTTCATCAGATTTGTTTACTTCGAATGGTATCATTCCAATTGTCCGATGAATATCTTTGAAATTATATTTCAATAAATCTTGTGAAATTTCAACCCATCTTTTATTTTTCTGAACTTCAAACCGTAATTTTTATTTTACCATTTAAAGTTCTGTTGAAACGTTCAATATTTGCAGGTTTGTGTATGATATAATTTTATATTGTTTTTTTTGTTAACATTTCTTTAAACTGTTTTTTTACAAACTCTGTTCCTTTATCAGTGTGAAGTAATGTTGGTGAATTATGTTTCTGTAGT